TTCGAGAAATCACGAATTTCAAACAAAACCACACAAAATCTCCGAAGTTCTCAATTAATTAAATACATTTTTTTTTAATCAGGTTTTGGTGAACATTTGGTTCACTGGTTTGCTAGTTCTATTCTATTCTACTTTTTTTGTCAGAATAGTGAAATCGTTGCCAATATTTATGTTAAACTAGCGGGGGTGATAAACAGGCATATGGCCCGCCTGCCGGCGAGACCACTTTACCTTATAAACGCTAGAGATACAAAAATATATTGATACTAGCTGTGCCACGCGGTGTTACCCGCTTTTTTATTATATTTCCCGCAATAAAACGTAGCCTATGTGTTAATCCAGGGTATCAGCTAACTCCAGTAAAAAAATATTAAAGTCGCTCCAGCCGTTTAGACGTGAAGAAGTAATAAACATACACACTCACTTTTTTCTCCCCCCCCCCCCCCGTATATTATTTTGCCTCGCTCGAGTAAATTCAAATATCCCCTACTATCACCACACTTTGCTTCATCATCATCATCAGCCTATTAATGTCCTCACTGCTGGGGCACAGGCCTTCCCTATGGATGGAACAGGGAGATTGGGCCATGACCAACCACGCGGGCCCAGTGCGGATTGGCGGGTCCTAACGACTGCAGATGCAACCGGAACCAACGGCTTAACGTACCTTCCGAAGCACGGAGGAACTCGAGATAATAAATTTTTGGTCACCCATCCAATGACCGACCACTGCGAAAGTTGCTTAACTTCAACGATCGCAGCCAAACGCGGTAACCACTAGCACCATCGAGCTCCTCACTTTGCTTAAGGAACCATAAAACGAGTTCTGAAGAATGCTACCAGTAACATCTATTATAATTGATGTTACTGGAACTATTCTATAATGTGTGTTGTGCAAACAGAATCTACATTTATAATTCATCTATCATAAATTCTGTCACATGTTTAATAGAAAATAATTGAAACAAGTTTATTCATTATGTAAACATTTATATACCAAAATGAACTTAACAAAACATAGATTCTTATGACAATAAAGTTTATTCAAAATGACCTCCGTGATTTTGAATACAGGCCTTCAATCTGCGCGGCCAGTCGTCTATCGCAGCACGAACGTAGTCCATGTCAATATCGGAGGCTGCCCTAATCAAGGATGTCTTGAGTAACTCCAAATTGGGATGAGGCTTTGAGCATGCCTTTTCCTCCAAGTGTTGACATATCTTGGAATCTAACGGACTCAAATCTGGACTCTCCTCCAGAGGGCTAGTCTTCGTGCCGGATGAAGTCGATTTCACGCGCCGCCAGCCAGTCTTGTGTGCTCTTCGCTCTATGAGCTGGCACCGAATCTTGTTGGAATACCCAGTGCCTGTTATTGAACATGGTATGAGAAACAGGTTTCAGAAGGTTCGTCAGGACTGTATTTTGATACACAACTGCATTCGTTTTTACACCTTTCTCACAAAAATGTACCTCTGTTAAGACCCAATAAGAAACTCCCATCCATACTATGAGCGACGATGGAAAATGACCTCGTTGGACACGCGGAATACGGTTGCTCGCTTCTTCACTACTGTGTGCGTACACTTTTATAATTATGTATTTATCATTTTGTTAGTTGTAGCTCTCTTCTACGGTAAAAATGTTTTCATCCGAAAAAAGAATTTCTCGATATTTTTTCCCGCGTACCGCTTCAACAAAGCGCGGCATCTCTTCAGTCTCAGGTCCATTAGACGAGCATTCAAACGATGACCGGTTTTTCTTCGATATGCCCGAAGCCCTAAGTCTTCATTTAACACCCTTTTCACCGTGGTTCTGCTTAACCCCATCTGAAGGCCCAACAATTTCTGCTTACGTTTGGGATTTCGTTGAATTCGTGCCTTCACAGCTTTAATCACTGCTGGAGTCCTAACAGACCAAAAGCGACCACTTCTTGACCTGTCATCTACACTAGAGTATCACACAGAACATGTGCGTTACATTTGATATTCATGTTACCTCATTGATACAAGGCTAAGTGCAAGGTTATTAAATCAGAAGTATAAAAACTCAATGCGCTCTAAGATTTACGAAGATTAACTGCAAACTAGGAAGGGATAACTTATTATAAATTTAATAAATAATACAAACACTCACACCAATTAGCCTAGCCCCAAAGTAAGCACTGTAAGCTTGTAAGGAATACTAGGTAACGGATAGAATAGATATGGTGATACATGTATAATTATATTTATATTGAATGACTCTTTTTAATTAGTGAAAGCTGAATATCACTTTCGCGTCATTACCTTGACCCCACACTTATTACCCCAAGTTTAAGCTGCATCCTGTGGGGTATTTTTTTGCACTAAATATTGGTGAGCATGAAGTTAAACAAAGACCGACTATGTCTATGGTTCGTTGAAACATTAAAACCTTTGATAGCTAACGCGGTAGGATTGTGTTCGTAATATTAATCAAGGAAGCAGCAGGCAGCAGTCTGATTTCCCGATGCCAGTGGATATATGCAGAAATCCCGTGATTTGTATAGTGAAAGCTGAATATCACTTTCGCGCCATTACCTACCTTGACCCTATACTTATTACCCCAAGTTTAGGATGCATTATGTTGCGTATTTTGTTGCACTAAATATTGGTGAGCATGAAGTTAAACAAGGACCGACTATGTATATGGTTCGTTGAATCATTTAAAACCTTCGATAGCTAACGCGGTAGGATTGCGTTCGTAATATTAATCAAGGAAGCAGCAGGCAGCAGTCCGATTTCCCGATGGCAGTGGATATATGCAGAAATCCCGGGATTTGTATAGTGAAAGTTGAATATCACTTTCGCGCTATTGCCTACCTTAACCCCACACTTATTACCCCAAGTTTAAGATGCATTCTGTTGCGTATTTCGTTGCACTAAATATTGGTGAGCATGAAGTTAAACCAGGACCGACTATGTATATGGTTCGTTGAATCATTTAAAACCTTCGATAGCTAACGCGGTAGGATTGCGTTCGTAATATTAATCAAGGAAGCAGCAGGCAGCAGTCTGATTTCCCGATGCCAGTGGATATATGCAGAAATCCCGGGATTTGTATAACTCGATGAAAGGTGCGATGCGGCGATGTAATTTAATTGTTTACAAAGATATGGATAATGCGCGCGCGCAGGACGATCAACGACGAATTAACAACTGACTAACGTGAACGTCGTCGGAAGCGCGGCAATCAAGCGCTAACGCGCGAACTTCGCACAGGTACAATAACCTCAAGAAGAACAGGACTACAAAATGGTTTCAGTGCACCTGATTAATATGATGAACACAATTATGAAAATACAATAAATCTATAAATTATGGAGCCGCAAAGTGGCGTAGCCATGTTTATAAATTAATATTAGACCTACGCGCTAGATTTATTTTCCTGTCATCCAAATAACATTGAAAGAATTTATAAGTTCGATCTAAAATGACGTCTGTGGATGTTATCTGTTAAATACTTTTCTGCATCAATTATTTTTAAACATAATTCGATCATTGATTACGTATCACTGTCAATCCTCAATGAAAAACAAAGAAGCAAAAAAAAAATCCGTTTTAGTCGCCATCATCTGCTTAAGGATAATAAATGAAACCTTGTTTTTATTTATTTTTAATACGCTGTTATATTCTATATGACACTGTTATTTTTACACGTGATATTCATTTCCTTGAATCCTTCCATCACATTTAAGAGCCCTTTCACATTTTTTGCAAAAAATCGTGATTTTTGAGCGCCTCGTTTGAGATTTTGACTATTTCCAATAGAAGTAAACAGTAGATTTATTCTTCCTTTTGTAAGTTAATGTAGAATATTTGCAAATACTATTTTCCTTTTTTTGTACTGATCGTTCTACTGCAGTTAGTTTACGGAAAAAACAAAACAAATTATATGCACAACTTCAAACGCCTCAATCTCTGAATAATGTTCAATAAATTAGATAAAATTTATTACTACGACATCAAAAATTTGTTTTTGCTGTAACATAATGTATTAAAATTTTGATTTTCCATCTTATTAATTATCAAAAAAAAAACATCTAACCTCCATGAGTTTTCCCAAAAAATAATGCAGGTTTATCTCGTATTTTGATATTGAATTAAATTGAATTACTATCAAAACTTTCATAAAACTAATCTACCATCATTTAACTACTGAAATATGTATACATTTTTATAATTAGTTCATTAACAATTGTTTAATAAGACTCGAAACATCACCCGTAAAATGCAAATATACTAGTGCAAATCTACCTACGCGCCGATCTGAACGGCAGCGGCGCAATTTTGTAAAAGGGCTCTGCGTTATTATTTGTCGATAATATCGAATGCCTTATTGCGATCTTTCGTCATACTTCTATTTCGTCCATATTATTACAGCAGTGTGTAGCCATTCTCATACTTAATACACTAAAAACGAGAACGAGACGATTAACGAGAGTATTATGCTTTTAGACCCAGAAGAGGTTAAGCTGGAGTCTACTTTCAATATTGAGAAAGTAAAGTCTAAATCGGATTTTGAAGTATTGCAAGATGAAAATGAAACAGGTAGGTATTCATTTGTCAACTTCCATGGTATTAGTGGTATGTACACCGGTTTTTGAGTTAAATAACCTAACATTAGGCGGTGCATAAGGCATAGGGGAATGAAGCAGCGCATCACTCGTATATTATATAATTATTATATTGTCGGGTGTAACGTTCACGGCGCTCGTAGCGTTTCAGCCTTCGCCGAGTTACCCTTTATGCTCGTCGGGAAGAGCTGCGCACGCAGCATCCCACCCACACACACACACACACACACACACACACACACACACACACACACACACACACACACACACACACACACACACAGACATATATATATAGTCGTGTGGCACTCGTAACGTCAATTCGAAACATTAAACGGGTTAAAGCTTTTAGAGATTACTGCTGTTGATTCTAATTATAATTATTATAAATTACATAAAGACTCACCTCTCTTCGACTGTGAGATTCGCCAACTCCTGTATCCAGCACCAATGTTGTTCAGGAGCGATAGTCATGAATATTTGCGAGAAATACACGAAGGCGACGAAAAACGCAAACGGTATCATGAGCAGGAACAGTATCTTTTGGTACAATCCGAATTCACCTACATAAGGCAGTAAGTCATCGAAATCCGTCGCCTTCTTCGGAGGATTCTTATCCTCCTTTCTACCATCGCCCGTTTTATTTGCGCTGGCAACATCTTTGGGATCGCTGACGTACGCCTTGTTCACGAAACCAGCGCCGAGGTCGATGTTCGAAAGCTTGTTGTCTATGGAATTTTGGCGGGAATCCTCCTCCTGTTGCTCGCAGACTGACGTTCTTTCCTGTGGCGCCATTTTGTATTTTTTTGGTTTTCGAAACCGGTCTGTTTTGTCTGTGTTCTTCTTTGATTCTAAATCAGCATGCTCGTTCCGTCAGTACCTTATTGCCTGTAACAAGAAAAATGACATTAGTTTCAAAATTGAACTCATCTGTCAAATAAAATTATCTATTCAAAAAGAAGTAGTCATCATTATCAGCCTGTTAATGTCCCCACTGCTGGGCACAGGTCTTCCCTAGGATGGAATAGGGAGATTTGGCTATAACCTACCATGCGGGCCTAGTGCGGATTGGTGGGTGCTAACGACTGCAGTTGGAGCCGGGACCAACGGCTTAACGTGCCTTTTGAAGCTCGAGATAGTAAATTTTCGGTCACTCATCCAATGACCGACCACTGCGAAAGTTGCTTAACTTCAACAACTTATTAATATGAAATAAGATTAGCGACAGCTTAGAACACAATCTGTACCTACTCGTAAAAATAATATGAGACACTCAAACGAAACTATCTTTTTCAAAGAAGAACCTATGGTGTTCAGAAATAATTTATAGACACAGCACGTCCGTTTTGCACCCTTAGCACGAACCATTATCAAATAGTTAAATTCGATATATTTTATACGCCACTAGTGGCCCGCCCTCGTTTCGCTTCGGGGTAGAATTGATCAAAATCCTTTCTTAGCGGATACCTACGTCATAACATCTACCTGCATGCCAAATTTCAGCCCGATCCGTCCAGTGGTTTGGGCTGTGCGTTTATAGATCACTATGTCAGTCATTCACCTTTGAGTTTTATATATATAGATGTGTACTGATTTTAGTTCTTGTTACGTCCGTTGTGGCGCTGCTGTTCAAATTTCCATACATTTGACAGTGACATTTCGCACTAGCAAACTATCGAATACGATATTGGTTCGTGCTGAGGGTATGAGATACGAAAGCTTTAAAAATAAGAATGTAACTCATAAAATTAGACAATTTAAAAACTTGACCAAGAACACTACCCGATGGGTAGCGGGTCTCGGGGTATATTAAAATGTTTTATCAGTTCGCCTGCTGCTAGTCACACTAATATTAGAAAAGAGAAAGTTCGCGAGTGTGTATGTTTGTAACTTCTTCACGTCTAAACAGATGGAGCGATTTTAATAAAATTTGGTATGGCGTTAGCTGATACCCTGGATTAACACATAGGCTACGTTTTATTATGGGAAAAATTCCTAATAAACCACTGGTAACACCGCGGGGCATAGCTAGTTTTATATAAAAGTGAATTAAAAACATTACTCACAGCAGTATTCGATACACTAAAACATGTATGCATCCTATATGATCGTGATGTGTACTAAAATGGTACGTTGGTAAACTTATTTTCATTGCTAAGTGAGCTCTAAGTTAAGTGTGTCGTAAGTCAGCCTCGACCGGTCGCGAGGTTTATGTTAAAATAGTTTTAAGTGTCGCCTTGGTTATTGGGTACATAGTAAACAGTGTATCCTGCAGGTGTATTTTACTATTTACTATGTGAATTAAAATGCATCCAATAGCCAAAATAGGAAGGATATAGATCCATAATTATTATTACATAATCGATTATACGCCACTGTGATCGAAAAGGACATTGGGCAAAAATCTATGGACGCTGCACCCACGTCCGCCATCGCTTAAACTACATTTGTTAGAAAGGTATTATAGTCATAATCATCTGTGCCAAAGCGCATCCAATTCCATCTCGGGGCTCTTTAGTTATTTTAAGTTAAAAAGGTACAAGTACCATAACGAACGAACATTAATCAAACAAGGGAATTAATTTAGTTAGTTAGTTCGACCATACATAGAGAGCTCGGGTATTATGGGACTACTTCACAAGGTGCAATGGTACCCCCTTACGTTATTCTGCCACGCTAAAGTAAATCATAAAATTCCCGCGTGGGTTCGGTTTTTTCAAACAGTCTCTTCGTTATAGTAAATTGTCTTCTATGGAAAACGGAGCGACCACAAATCACACAAACTTGTACATGCTTCGGAGAAAACATGATTCCAGTTAATCCATACTAATTGACAAAACTGATAATAGTGTTCTAACACGCTTTGCACGTGTTAGATAACAATAATCAAGTGACGGAGAGCGCACCATCACAACGAAGTAAGGCGAGTCGACTATTTGCAACTGCAAGTCCTTCAACCCCCGTATACCGTTTTGTGCTGGCTCAGTAAGTGCAAGCGCAGGATGGTTTTGTCGTATAGTACGATATGGCATATTATTATGGTTACTAATAATATAAAATAAAGGTACTATAAAATTAATTTATTTAGCTACTGAAATAAGCCCATGTGTCATAACTTTTGACCAGCAGGATACTTTTTACGGTGTCATATCTTTTGACTACCGGGATATTCTTTTACGGTGTTAGGCCGTATACAGAAAGAAAGCCGAAAGCCGATCCTTACTACATAAAGGAAGCCGATTAAAGCAGATCAAGCAAAATGTCGGACTCATCGGACGATGATTTGGTTTTGTTAGAAAATGTGTATTTAAAAATGCGAAAAAAAGCTATACATCCTATAAATAGAGAAAGGAAACGTTGCGGAGAATAGCATCATTTATTTGTAAAAAAATTGAAATTTGATGATCAAAGATTTTATACATATACAAGAATGAATGACTCAAGAAACATTTTATTACATTTTGGATTTAGTGAAAAACCGTTTGATGAAAAATTGGTGCAATTGGCATAAACATAAACAACCAATCCTTCCGAAACTAATAATTTTAGCGCTTAGTTAATAAAAGATAAAGTTATTAGATTTATAAAAAAGATTATAACTTACATTGATTTAATCTAAGGATAATAATTCAAATACAAATTAATTATTTATTATTCGGACAACATAGATCATAATGACCAGCTGACCAGCGCGTGTCGCGTATCGTATACGGCCTTATAATAAAAAAGGGTAGTTTTACATAGATCTATCGATTCATACTAATTACATTGTTGGCGGAGCTGGGTGTGTTTTGCCCATTGTCCTTTGTTATATATCATTTTAATCAGATATTTTCTGCGATTGACGATCTCCGTGACCGTGTGGTTTGTACGTGACGTCGAGTCCAGAGGTCCAGGGAATCCCGGTGGGGCGGTTTGGGCATGTGTTTTTGTGATGAATACGAAGCATTTGTACTGCAGTCATGGATGTTTAATATGTATTTTTATTTAAATATACTTATATGTGTACTGTATATGTATTCTATCCGTTACCCTAGTATCCCAAAACAGAAGCCTTACAAGCCAAGGTTACTTTGGGGAGAGGCTAATTGGTGTGTATTGGAAATATTTATTTATTATTATTTTCATCTGTTTATGTTTTGAAAAGATTTGAGTAACTACTTCATGACGCTAAATTTTTTGAAAATTTATGTTGTTCATAACGTTGTAGTGACATAAATGTTGGTATTTTTTGAACTAATGGCGCTTAACCAATAATATATATATATATATATATATATATATATATATATACATATATATATAAAAACAGCTGAGAGTTTCATAGCGAATCTCGGTCACCATTTAGCCTATATAATTTTTCAATCATAACGAAAAAAATGTAAAGGCCTAATAAACCTTTTATGAAAACCAAACCTACTTATCTCTTATTTGAACAAAGTTATAGGCAATGAAAATGGAAGCGGGACTTTTGCCCCACCCTTGTGTTATGGGATACTAGGGTAACGGATAGAATACATTCACTGTCCATATATAAGTATATTTATATAGAAATACATATTACACATCCATGAGTGGAGTACAAATGCTCGTATTCATCCAACAAATATCTGCCCCACCGGGATTCAAAGCCGAGACCACTCGAGTCGGTGACACCATAAAACCCGGCATTGGATGAAAAATATTAATCCCATCCCTCCGTAGAAGCAAAACGCAAATTACTTTAAGAGTTATTGTTCTATGCGAAATAATAAAGTCATTTAAAGAAGGTACACTGTAGTTTTATTTCTCACTGAACACGGCATATTACATAGCCCTTATACAACTTATCCTAGATACAAAAATGTATACGTGCGAACTAAGGGGACTACGGAGGGCGACTGAATCAATCGCTCGTCGTTGCACCACACGTGCAGTAAGGCCGGGACTCCACCAAAGCGGAGACGAGATGAGCGGAGAGGAGATGTTTTTTAAACAACCAATAGAATTGTGTTATTGACACATCTCCTCAGCTCAGCTTCAGTGGAGATCGCTGTACGGAGATGTGTTAATATTTGTATGGCGCGATGGAAGCGGAGATGTGAGTTGTGTGCTTAAGGCCGGGACTCCACCAAAGCAGAGATGTATGCGGTGTGTTGTGTGCTGTGCGAGAAGAGATGTTTTTCAGCTCGGGGGACTCCACCAAAGCGGAGGTGTGTGCGGTGTACTGTGTGCTATGCGAGAAGAGATGTTTTTCAGCTCAGGTAACAGGCATTGAGCGCTCAGCGGGGCTCTGCGGGTTGCTGGCGGGCGTGAGGGGGGAGGGTGACACCGCTCACTGCACGCCGCTCAGGGCCTACATTCTGTAATATTTTCACGCGCGGATCCGATGCGGTTCCGCGCCAATCTATATGGGAAACTCGCGGATCCGCATCGGATCCGTGCGTGAAAATTTTACAGAATAGCCCCGCAGATCTCTCGTCTCCACTGCGCGTCGTTCCCACACAGCTCACATCTCCGCTTCCATCGCGCCATACAAATATTACACATCTCCGCATAGCGATCTCCATTGAAGCTGAGCGGAGAGTAGATGTGTCAATAACACAATTCTATTGGTTGTTTAAAAAACATCTCTCCGCTCGTCTCGTCTTCGCTTTGGTGGAGTTCCGACCTAAATCCTTAGTTGACAAATAGCGGCTCGCCCTCGCTTCGCTTCGGTGTAGAGCTGAAGTGTAGACTACAGTTTTTGTTCTCAGGCTTGTATTATACACAATGACATTCATCTATGATTCTTCTTATGCCTGCATGCAAAGTCTCAGCCCGATCAGTTTAAAATTGACAAAGTTTCATACAAACTTTCATTACCTATTTTATCCCTTAAGGGGTGGAATTGATCAAAATCCTTTCTT